CTCCTAGGATTCATACTCCTAAAAGATAATGCTTATCTTTTAACACCCCCTCACTGCTTAAACCAAGTGAGATGGTTTTTACCATGGCCGAACTCCAACATGACCGAAGTAATCATGGCTATGCTAAGCCACAGAGTAGGCCGAACTATAATTAGTTTGGTTCTTCCTTTTACTCCTCCTTATCTCGGTTCTCTCATGTACAACCCATGGTGTGTTTAGACCGAGCTACCGAGTAGCAAGGTTCTGACCGTTCTAACCACAATACGCCATGACCGGACTAACTCTGAGACCGGCCAAACTCCAAGTCGCTTCCGGGCCGGAGTAACTTTACATTTCTCTCGGGCCGGAGTAATTTTGTACCTCTCTTGGGCCGGAGTAACTTTGCGGCTTTTTTACTCAGCCCTTCGTATTGTGGGCCATAATGACCATCTCCCAGCTCGGCCCAATTTTCACAAAAATTACCCTCTCAGTCTTTTGATACAAAGAATTGTTTGAGCCATACCTTTCATCAAGTTCTGTTGAAGAAAAGCACGATCATGAAGAACAAAAATCCAGAAAATTAGCAGAGTAGAAGAACAAGTAGAGAGGAATTTTTTTTTTCTCTCTCTCTAGCTCTGTGAAGTTTCTCTCTCTAGGGTACGAATATGAATACGAAAGTGCGTCTATTTGTCCTAGCAATACCCAGTTCGGCTGATATCTACGTTTAACCATGGCTGCTGCTATGAATTTTCTGTGTATTCCGGATGACCGATGGGACAACCGGCCAGATATTGGGACCCACCTCTAACGTAAAGACACAGTATTTTGATGAAATCTGCCCAGCTGCTCAGTTTGGTGAAATCTTTGGGCCGTTCTCATTTTGATAAAACCATTGAAAGCAAAAAAGTTATCCTTTTTCACCAAATTCAAATTTGGTGATGATATGCTCCACCGTTAGAGATGGTCTAAGAAGCATGGATATGTTTTAAAGAGAAAGGCCTATTTTGATAATTAAGAAAAGCAAGAAGAGTTAGTTTATTGACTTATTAATTAGTTTATTGACTTATTAATTTATTTAGGTCATATTATTTCTTTATTTTTTTACGTATTTTTTTAAAATAAAATAAATAAAAAGTTGGATTTTTCTTTTTTACTTTTCAAAATAAGCCGAAGTGTGTGTTGGACACTAATATTTTAAAAGGATTAGGCTTCTTTTATATTCACATTTCAATATGAGAAAATTTGAGGGACTTGTGGAGTCGACCACATGTCTCGTTTCGATAATTCAAACCGTTTACTTTTTAAGTTTTATTATGTAGAATATTCAAGTAAAAAATCAAAATGATCAGATATTAATAGTTATATGTTTGAATCAATTTTATATTACGAAAAATGAATGATTATTCTTAAAATCATCTCTGTCGTTCATTTTTTTTAAACATATATAATTAAAATATATAGCTACCGATTTTCAATTATTTTGATTTTTTATATGTATATTCTATTCAATGAGTCCAAAAAAACGAACAATTCAAATTATCAAAAATTAATTTTAAAATGAGTCTACAAAATCTAAACACTCAAGAGAAGCCAAACACTTTTTAAAAACGCACTTTCAATATGTCTTAATTAAAAAATTATATTCAATTATTGGACACTTTAGCGGCACATTTTAAGCCCTTTGAACATGTCCTTGTTATGAATCACTTTACAATAATAATATTTTACATTTTTCAAAATACAACTTATGTATTATAAATATATTTTGAAACATTTATAAAATGAATACATTATATATTTTACAATATTCAGCAATTTTTTTTTACATTATTTAGAATATAATTCTTATGTAAATGATATATTGAATTTTAAATTATGAAAAATATATAATTTTTAAAATATATTTAGTGTAATGTTACAATTTTTTTTAAATTTTTAATAAATTATTTATACATGACATATAATAAATTTATAAATATACAATATTTTAATATGTCTTAAACGTGTTGTTTCTTATTTTTTTCCAAAATCAATGTGTCAAAATGTTTGTGTCGTGTCAATATTGTGTCTGTGCTACTTAGTTCATGACTCACAAACCATGAGTAGTAATTTTAGTTCAAACTAAGACATTTTTGTAAAGATAGTTAAAAATTATTTTTCTGCTTTTAACTTATTTTGGGCCATATCATCTTTTTATGTTTTTACATGTTTTTCCAAAAAAAAGTTAAAAAATTAACTTTTAACCAACTTTCTAAAACAACCCTAATTGATTTCCTTTTGTTTGGGCTTTCAATGATGCTCCTAAACCTAATTTTCAGACATCTTAAACTTTAGAAGTTTGTGCTTAAGTATTGATTAAAACTTTAGTTTTGTGATAAATACATTATTATTCAGTTTTTGTAGGATTTAAATTCTAAACATAGAAGATGGACTTTGTTCCCTGAATTTAAAAAAGGAAGATACTTCAGTTTTGGTAGGATTTCAACTAATGTAGACATAAATTGCAATGGAGGACAAAAAAAATTTGAAAAGCAGTTGTCCGGAAAATTAATTATTTCAATTAATTTTTAATTTTTTACGAAAAAAATATGTAAAAAAAATAAAATAAAGAGAAGAATTATTTTTTATTAAATAGGCCACTCTATCTTATTTATTTACTAGTGGGTGGCACATGTGATACGTGTGCAATTCAAATAACTAATACTAAAAATAAATAGTAAAGAATTTAATATCATAATATGTATGTTGCATTAGTAATAAGTATGTTTTTAATGAAACTCAAAGTCTTAAGTTCAAAACTTATTAACGCTGTGCTAATTTTTTTTTAGTATATATAAAGTTCCCACATGATATAAGGAGAAGAATGTTTCACTAAACCAATTTAAGCCTTCACTTAATAATAGTATAGATAAATAGATAAATTTTAGTATATATAAAGTTACCACCCACATGACATAAGGAGAAGAATGTTTTACTAAATCAATTTAAGCCTTCACTTAACAATAGTATAGATAGATAGATAAATTTCAGTATATATAAAGTTACCACGTGACATAAAGAGAAGAATGCTTCACTAAACCAATTTAAGTCTTCGCTTAATAATAATATAGATAGATAGATAAGTATGTTCTTAATGAAACCCAAGATCTTAAATTCAAAACTTGCTTATGTTGTGTATAATATTTTTTTTTATTTAGCATATATAAAGTTGTCACGTGACATGAGGAGAAAAATGCTTCACTGAACCAATTTAATAGATAGATAAATATGTTCTTAATGAAACTCAAGGTTTTGAGTTCAAAACTTACTTACGCTGTAGAATATTTTTTTATTTTAACATATATAAAGTCGCCACGTGACATGAGGAGAAGAAGATTTTACTAAACCAATTTAGACTTTCACTTAATAATAGTATAGAGAGATTTATCTCTTTATTGATTTTTTAAAAATTTCTTTTAATTTTGTTTTTTCAGCAACATTTCACTTCTCTCCAGCTTATTTTGACAACACAGTTAAAAATCAATTTTTTAGTTTTTATTTTTTTTTTTTTAAGTGATATCACCTCTTTAATTTTTTAAAAATATTTTTAACCGGAAAAAATTAAAATTAATTTTTAACATCCTTCTTAAAATTGGCGAAAGTTCTATAAAAAATAAAAAATAAAAAATAAAATAAAATAAAAAAAAGCTGTAAAGATAAAATAAATTAATAAAAAGGAATAAATGAACAAATAAATGAACGAGGGACATCTATATAAGATTGCCAAAATAGTCGATGACTATCAGGTTTTTTCTCTTTCACACCCTCTCTCTCTTCTCTAATTAATCAGGTTTGCTTTCTGTGCCCTTGTCTCTCTCTCTGTCTCTTAAATTTTGTTAACTGGTTTCTATATTCTGCATTAAGTTTTTCAGTTTACGTTCTTCTTTTGTTCTCTTTACCTTTTCTGATTGCTTTGTCTCAACCCACAAATTATTATTTTTTAATTATTTTTTTGTTTATTTTTTCATGATGATAATTTTGGGTTTTTGATATTCTAGGGTTGTTGCCACTGGAGATCCTTGATGTCCATTTCTTGCAAATCTCATTTTGATGAGGGTTTTTAGGGTTTCTACTGATGAAGCTATTCGTCTGGAGAGAGGTATCTGATGGTTGATACATATATAATATATGTGTTGGTATATTGTCACCTCTTTCTCTCTCATGCGTTTAGCTGTTTTGAAATTTTAATATATATAAAGTTACCACCCACATGACATAAGGAGAAGAATGTTTTACTAAATCAATTTAAGCCTTCACTTAATAATAGTATAGATAGATAGGTAAATTTCAGTATATATAAAGTTACCATGTGACATAAAGAAAAGAATGTTTCACTAAATCAATTTAAGTCTTCACTTAATAATAATATAGATAGCTAGATAAGTATGTTCTTAATGAAACCCAAGATCTTAAATTCAAAACTTGTTTATGCTGTGTATAATATTTTTTTTATTCAGCATATATAAAGTTGTCACGTGACATGAAGAGAAAAATGCTTCACTAAACCAATTTAATAGATAGATAAATATGTTCTTAATGAAACTCAAGGTTTTGAGTTCAAAACTTACTTACGCTGTAGAATATTTTTTTACTTTAACATATATAAAGTCGCCACGTGACATGTGGAGAAAAAAATTTCACTAAACCAATTTAGACTTTCACTTAATAATAGTATAGATAGATTTATCTCTTTATTGATTTTTTAAAAATTTCTTTTAATTTTGTTTTTTGAGCAACATTTCACTTCTCTTCAGCTTATTTTGACAATACGGTTAAAAATCAATTTTTTAATTTTTAATTTTTTTAAGTGGTATCATCTCTTTAATTTTTTAAAAATATTTTTAACAGGAAAAAATTAAAATTAATTTTTAACATCCTTCTTAAAATTGGCGAAAGTTCTATAAAAAATAAAAAATAAAAAAAAAAAAGCTGTAAAGATGAAATAAATTAATAAAAAGGAATAAATGAACAAATAAATGAACGAGGGACATCTATATAAGATTGCCAAAATAGTCGATGACTATCAGGTTTTTTCTCTTTCACACCCTCTCTCTCTTCTCTAATTAATCAGGTTTGCTTTCTGTGCCCTTGTCTCTCTCTCTGTCTCTTAAATTTTGTTAACTGGTTTCTATATTCTGCATTAAGTTTTTCAGTTTACGTTCTTCTTTTGTTCTCTTTACCTTTTCTGATTGCTTTGTCTCAACCCACAAATTATTATTTTTTAATTATTTTTTTGTTTATTTTTTCATGATGATAATTTTGGGTTTTTGATATTCTAGGGTTGTTGCCACTGGAGATCCTTGATGTCCATTTCTTGCAAATCTCATTTTGATGAGGGTTTTTAGGGTTTCTACTGATGAAGCTATTCGTCTGGAGAGAGGTATCTGATGGTTGATACATATATAATATATGTGTTGGTATATTGTCACCTCTTTCTCTCTCATGCGTTTAGCTGTTTTGATCATCTGATTTGTATTTAGATCGTCGTCCCAGAATAGAAGATGGTGTTGTAAAATTCATTTCTGAATAGTCTTTAAAAAAAAAAAAAAATTTTGGGGTTTTGGGTGAGAAAAAACAACTAAAAAAATTTGGGTTGTACCTGTAAAGATAATATAGAAGGCTCTTGAGTTGGGTTTTGAATTAATATGAATCCCTTGTTCTGTTTGGAATAATTGAGTGTTTTTGCTCTGATTTTGTATAAAATTTAGTGGGTTTGGGAGGGTCAAAATGGAAGATGAAAAAAAGTCAGTCATGGGAAGCGATGGGTTGGATTTAGCGAATGGAACTGCAAGTCCACAGAATGAGATGGTAGATTTTACGCCAGAAAAAGGTGAGTCGAGCGATGTAGTATTCTCAAGAGAAGAACCTCTTGTGAGTAAGGAACCGAGAGTATCTAGTGGGTGTACTTGCGGTGCAAAGAAAGCTAAATCTGGGATGCTCAGTGAAGATTCTGAGCTTAGCAAGAATGAGAAAGTTGGGCATGAGAAGAAACTCAGTAGGCAAGACAGGATCGAGCTGGGGCGATTGTTTCAGGGTGCTGTGAGTTCCCATGATTGGGAACTTGCAGAAAGTTTGATCTTTTTGGCAGATCCACAAACACTGAACGATGCCTTGTGCATTGCCTTGGATTCAATCTGGTTCTTGAGCACACAACAGGAGCTAGATGGGATAACTGGTTTAATTAAGAAGATCATTGCCAACGGTGCTTATGACTTCACAAGATCTGCTCTTAGGACTTCTTTCCTTGCTTCATGTGTTTCTGCTTGCCAGAGCAGAACAATGAGTTTGGCAGACACCGTGACTGTAATGGCCCAAAGGTAAATATCATATGATTGCTTAGTTTTCGGTGCCTTGTGTATCCAATATCTATATTTATTGAGGATAAAACAATCGTGAATGAAAAACAGCAATACCTCCCTGTGGCATTTTTTCTTTCCTTTCAGAATTCTTTCTTTGTTGGGCGCATTAAATTATACATCAACATATAATTTAATGCGCCCAACAAGGAATTCTGAAATCAAGGCCATAGGCTATGATGCATGATCATATGCACTGTAGATTTTAGACTGCTTTATGCACTGTAGGTTTTAGACTGCTTTCTGACAAGGTCAATTTCTTGATCCTATGCTAAATTTGCGTGTTCTGCTTTAAATTGAAGCTTTCAACTTCGTAACCTCCTAACATACCATAATGTATTGTATTTTGAATAGTCGATATGTAGACTAAAATTATTTGGATTTAACTATAGCTATACTAATTTGTTAAAAAACAAAAACTATAGATCAATTAAGGGAAAATTACATGTGACTAAATTTTTTTTTTTTTTTTGATAATTTCATTTAAAGGATTTCAAAATTTCAAATTAGATACGATTAGATGGACCGATAGTTTTAAAGATTGTAAAAACTTCAAATTAAATATGGTTAAATGAACTGATAATTTTATGCCACACTTCTTTTTAAAGTCCAATAATTGAGAAATTCAATTTATGACTTTGGAACACTCAATCCTTATTGTTAAAACCCCACTTTTGTATATATATATATATGAGTTTTTGTTTGTTATTTTTGTTAACTTTTGCATGAAGCAAATGTGCCATTTTGTTTTATCATTACTTTTTTTTGGCAGGTTGCATGAGCGTCTCAAAGAATGCAATGGGGATGAAGTGTTGAAGGCAGAAGCTGCTGCCAAGGTTCAGAAGTTTACCGAATGGGCTCTGAAATGTATAGGCTTTCATTCTCGTAGTCAGGGTAATAAGGACAAAGTGAGTCAAAGCTCAGCTGTTGAGATTCAACTCCAATTATCGGCATTCAAGATATTTCTAGATCTAGCAGGAAACCATCTTACTGGGAAGGACTTCACGGAGGCCTTTGATGCAGCTTGTTTTCCCCTTACTCTCTTCTCTAGTTCATTTGACCCTGGTTGGGCATCTGGCATATCTGCAACTGCAATTCAAGGGTTGCTGGTTATGTTGGTAGAAGGAGGTGCAGACAATGTGAACCAATGTTTTCTTGAAGCCTCACGTTTTGGGAGCACAGAGCTTGTTCGCATATTGTTGCAGGTAATGGTAGCTATTTTCAGCCATCATTGCTGGACATCATGCAATTGTCATTTACAATAGGCTAGGATTACCAAAGATGAAATTGATTTTGATATTAAGAGGGACCGAATTGGTTACGGAGGGACCGGATCTACGCTAAATGGTAAGAGCTTCAAGTTTTTTAGTGAAATAGTAAGAGGCTACCCTAATGGTAGATTATGCCTTAAATGGTTTCCTTTTGCATAGTGAACATCGTCATTATGAAATTAGGGTCCAGAAAAACATTGATACATCATAGGGTTTGAAAAACTGAATACAAAATGGAAAAGAAATTAATTATTGCTGCATATTAAAATCTTAGAAGTCAAAAGTTTGTTGGTCATCTTGTTTCCTTCTTTATCTGTACCATTGTCAAATGATTTAATAAGAGGGTTCTGTGAATGAGCTCTTCTTGTTATAAGCTCCATCTTTTCGAACCAATTTGTGTTTCTTTGCATTCATGCGAAATCAATCAATTATACGCTTGATTCCCCTTGGTTACCATAATAAACAAACAGATAGAATAATAAAATCCATAGATTGAGAAGGAACATAAGAATGATAACGCTGGCATTGCTTATTAAGGATCATTAGTTTAATACTACGTAAGACTAAAAAAACAAATTACGTTGAAGGAAATCTGCTTCAGTTTTGTCTGAAGATTATTTTCCCTGCAAATTGAATTACTCAATCAGTCCCTAGAATTATATCACCTGTTCCTCAGTGTTAATGAGCTTGTAATGTGATCTGAAACAGCATACAGATCTAGTAGTTGTCTGTTTCCTTTTTCCTTCGTAAGTGATATTTAACTTGAGGAATTGGGAAATAAAGAGACAATTTGGGTGAAAAAGGCACAACTGTCATGTGGCATCAAGAGGGCAATGCTTATTGGAGGTTTCTGTTTTGTGCTTACAAGGTTACTATGTAGTTCATTCCAAAAGTGGATAGGAATGTGTACATTGTCTCTGTTATTACATAACTGTAAGTATCATCAAAGCATGCAATATTGACAAATAGATATTCTTTCTAGTTTGTTAATATTTGTACATCCTTTTATTACGTAATTTTTATTTTCACTAATATTCTATCATTCATCGCTCTCTCTCTCTCTCTGGGATTTGAAATTTGTTTTCATAGATTGCCCAAAGGAATAGTCTGGATGTTGATGTTGACTTGGCGTTGGGTTTTGCTTCACACTACGGCAAGATCGGCACGATGGAATGTTTAGTGGAGGAAGGTAATGCCATGGCTTTCTTGGGTCCTTTGATGAGAGCAGCCGAGAGGGGTAGCATGCAGGTTGTCCAATGGTTTGTGAAAAGGGGCTGCCGAGACATGGAACTTTGTCTTGCCCTAACTGCTGCCACTTCAAGCAGCCAAGTCGAGATTGCCTCTTATCTCCTCCCTCACGTTCCTCACCACGTCCTAGCAGCCCTCAGCGTTGAAATTCTCAAGGCTGCTGGAGAACGTAGTGGTGGGTCCCTTGATGGGGTAGCATTTCTTCTTCGTTCAAACTTCTTAGGCGATCCGGCTGCTACTTACGCCGTTGCCGACAGCATTGCTAGGTCTGATGACGAGGTGGTTGCTCCTGAGCTTAGGGTTTTCCTTCAAGAGCACTGGTCGGAAGCGGCTTTTTCGGAAGGAGTGAAGGAAGGACAAGAACATTACTTGAACATTGTGAGGATTTTGAAGTGGGGTGGATCTCCAATTTGCTTGAGGGATCTTCCGGCCCCATTGAGGGTGGCAATAGCGTACCTGCCGCTGCATAGAGAGTGTGTCAAAGCAAGTGGCTGCTTGTTGTCACAACGTCTAAGGGGAAAGCTTCTGGAAGCTTCTAGAAGGCTAGGAGGAAACGAGGCGGTTGTGGAAGAGGAGGCAGGCAGGTGGAGGGAGCTCATGGCTGTTTTGGAGCATTACATTCCTCCGTTTTTTCTCCATGGTGCTTCTACGACTGCTTAGTCTGTTGGATCATTCGGATTTTCGCTTCTCTTTTTTCTCCCCATATGATATGAATAATGCTTATAGTTGAGTTTTAGGTGAGAAAGCTATGGAGATTTGACAATTTTTCTTTTCCGTCAGAATGGTGGATTGATTGGGGTTATATTTGTCTCAATCAGGTATTTCTGCAAATGCAAATTCTCATATTTGGATGTGCATGTTCATCTGTTAATGTAAAAATGGATAGAAATTACTCACAGAAGGGTGGATATATATTTTGAGCAATGGAGAGTATATTGTATTTTCCTGGATGATATTATTATTAGCTGATTATTGCTTATGGAATGTCATTTTCACTTCGGGAGTAATTATTTGCTACCTTTTGTGGAAGGCTCTGTTACTGTTACTGAGAATGGCATCATGGTAATTTTCTACTCATATTGGAATTTGCAACGGATACAAATAGAAAATAGAAAGAACTAGATAAAATATGCCTAGAAATATAATTTTGCCACTTGGACTTGTTGTGCTATGAGATTTTGTATAGATTATCAAAACAAAAAAGATTCAATTTTCACTATTATTATGATATTAAGTTATTTCCGTTTCTTGAGTAATTATTCATTACTATGCGCAGCTGGCATGTTGGCACAACCGTGTAGATTTTTTAAAAATAGATTTATTTTATATTCTTTCATAATGAGATAGTGTTATTGTTTAGTGTGATATAGAAAGTAAATTAAAAACACAAAACTTGTAATAAAATACTTGACGTCTGCTTCCTCATATCAGCGAGCGTTATTTATCAATCTTCTTATGGAAGGTCGTGTGGAAACCCAAGGAAGAGATTTGGAGTCAATATGGAAGAAGAAGACACTGTCTGGTTTTGAAACCTACTGCCTAGGGTTTAAGTTGGGCCGTTAGAAGTTTGCTAGTCGTATTGATGGAGGAACTAAGAAAAAGTGAGGGGTTTGCTAGTACCAAATTTCAATCTAGAAATCGAAAACTAGACCACAGGTGTGAAGATCATATTGCTAAGTATGGTGCTCAGCCACTTCAGAGTTATGCCAGGAAAAAGCAGAAAAGATGTTGAAGATAGTAGCAATGATTCAAGTCTCTTCAGAGACTTTGGATGCTTTTGTTCATTTGATTGTTGTGACTTTTTTCCCTCCTTGAAAGCTCGTTCTTGATGGATCTTTAATTCTTGATGATTCCGCTAGAACGTGTTAGAAATCGTAACAAATATTTAGAAATGGCAAATATTCCTAGATGTTTATGAAGAGTAAGCAGTAGTTTTAAGTATAATTTTGTTCATTTTCATCATTAAATAAAAGTTTTCCATGAATGTTATACATCACATATCACAGCATTCAATATGAGAATGGTTTTTTGTAAGAAAAAAATAAAACAAAACAAAACAACAAAGATGTTTACAATACAAGAACAATGTAAGCAATGCAACAAAGTATTCTCAAAACTGGAGTTGGATGTTAGATTATCTGACTGAAAAGAGAATGAATTCAAGAAATAAAAGAACTCAATTATGTGTTTGTTATTTCTTATGATCCTTTTTGAACAATTCGGGTGAACAAAAATTGGCAAATTCACTTCTTTTTAACACCATTTTTACATATATGTATAAGTAGCAGTAGTAGCAATATGGCGGACATCAGAAGAAGGCATAAAAGCCAATATCATAAGCACAGCCAGAATCCCAATGGGGAGCAGCAGCAGCATGAAAGGCGGTGGCGGCAATGGCGGAAGTATCAGTGGCAGAATCAGCAGCGAAGCTGTCAGACAAACGAGTAGTAGCGACGACTCTATACTGAACGGGAAAATTCTTCTGGCGTGCCCTTGCCCTTGCGAGAAAGACCGATGATACAACACTTTTTTTCCATCAACCACCAAAGGAGGAGTAGTAGTAGGCCTCATTTTAGGAAAAGAAAAAGGAGCAGCTGCCTTATTGTTGTTATTCTTCATTCTCACGTCCATGATGCAGTTTTTTGACGTTGCTGCTAACAATATTTGATTATCACTACAAACACACTAGTTTTGCTTAAGATCCAAATTCTGAAATTATCGGAAATCTCACCAATACAACAGATCTAGAATGCAACTGCAACTCTCTCCAAACAGGATTCAATCAATCAAGAAGTGAATTTGCTGAGTTTTGTATTTTCTTGAATCCCACAAACCCAATTGTTTCTCAGATCAGATGTGAATTTGATGAGTTTTGTGTTTTCTTGAATCCAACAACTCCAATAATACTTTCCCTTGTACCAAATTCCACCAAACTTTCTGAATTCTTCTTCAATAGAATATAATCAAATTGAACAATTCTTGACAAGTGGGTCTGATCTGTTTGTATTAATAATTGAGGATACCATCTAAGAAAACACAAATTTCTACCTCAACCATCTCAGAAAACCATTTCAATTTCAATTGTACTTTGCAGCATGCATTCACAAAGTAAAATTCAAGCTGATCTCAATTCTACAAACCACGAAACGTTGTCGCCGATGATGAACCAACTCCAACAACTGTAGTCCAAATTTAAGATCAAATTATAAAACAAAGTTCAGATTCAATGAATTGTAATGATTAATTAATTTATTTATTTTTATAATAAAGCTCATACAACTACTTAGACTAGAAAAAATCAAAACAATAAATCTACAAAAGAAGGTAATCCAATTCATATATGCAATCATAACCAATTCTTGAAAAGTAAATTATCAAATTCCTAAAACCTAAAACCTAAAATACAAAATAATCAATATAAAAAATTTTTAAAATGGTACCTGTGATGTTTGTGGAGGTGGTTTTGGGATGAAATTTTCCAAATGAGGCAACAAGAAACAAAAGTACCCTCATACAACTTTTGCATTTCAGCACTCTTCCCACCTCTATATGTTTTTTCCAAAATAACTCTTTATCTCTCTAATTGTGTTTGTCTATCTCAGAAATGAATCTACCTATTCAAAGAAAGCTAGCAAGAAATGAAATGATAGCTCATCAAAATACAACCAAACAAAAAGTAGAATTGGTGGATTAGAAGGACAAAGGTGGGTTTTGGGGAGGAAAAAACAAGAAAATGAACAAATGTTAGGGTCAATAATTGGGGATTTGGGTGGGAGAGAGGAAGGGTGAAAAGGAAATGAATGAAAGAGAGTGTTTGGGGATGGTGTATTTGATGTGATATTGGTGAGAGTGGGGCATTTGGATGGGATGGAGTTATTGATGGATTTGGAATTGTTTCACTGTTCTGTATGTAATGTGAATGTGAAGTTATGTAGAGGGAGGAGAGAGAGAGATAGAGGGGAGAGAGAGGGGGTTGGATTCAGTGAATTCCTCAAGCAAGTGGGGCCGCTGACATGCAAGTTGGAATGGTGTCGCCCAAGGTTCTTCACCCCTGCCCTCTTTCCTTTTTTCTAATGTCTACCTTCTTTCCCTTTCTCTTTCTCTCTCATCTTTTTTTCTCTTTCTCTCTCTAGATAGCCTCATCAGTCAACACCGAACATCTACTTTATTATTTTCAAAAAATTTCACATCAATCACATCATGTTTCCATTCCAATACCATGTACCACATTCATAGAATAGAATAGGAGCCTCTTCGTGCACCCAAAACATTAAATAAATTGTCGAGTATTCATTTTTTTTAACAAAAAATTTAATATCATTTTACCACTAATTTAAATAAAAATGTTAGAAACTCTAGAATAATTATTAAATATTTTACATAATATTTATATATGTATAGGGCTTGTTTGGTTTGCTTTTAAGAGAGTTTTTTTTTTAAAAAAAATCAAAATTTTGTTTGATTTGTGATTTTTCTCAAAAAAATTCAAAATTACTTTATCTCTCTTACACATCTATCAATCACTTTTTTTCTCTCATCTCTCATTCTTAATCACTTTTTCTCTCACACATATCTACTCAATTACAACAAAATATCAAATCATTTAAAACTCTCAAACTCTAAAACTATTTTCAAAATATACAACCAAACAAACTAAAAAAATTTCTAAATGCTCTCTCTAATTTTTTTTTTGAAAATCACTTTTCAAAAGCAAATCAAACACACCCATAAATTTTATGTGGTATGAATTCCACATCATATGATTATTTTGTAAAATATTTAATAATTTAGGGCTAATTTAGAAAGTTAGCTAAAAGTTAATTTTTAACTTTTAATTTATTTTAGATCATATCACTTCTTATATTTTTTATATATAAAAAAATCAAAAAAAAAAATTAACTTTTAACCAACTTTTCAAAAGACCATTTGTGACTATGGATTGTGCTTCCATCACAATGTTCTATTCATTATCTAGGTACAATAACAAGAAATAAACAGCATTGTGCTATTTTCGGTTTTATGTTTGGATTAAGGTCTATAATTTTGTACAAGAAATGGTGAGTTGAGTGATCAATCAATGAGCAGTTCTAGGAACCAATAAATGGAGACCTAGATATCTATCCAAAATTAATAATAAAAGGATATATTTAATATAATATTTTAATATAATAAGATTAAAATATTATAGTTAACCTTCATTTTCTCTCATTTATTTTTCATTTTGCATCTTTTATTTTTCATTAATTATAAATATTACATGTAATATATAATTTTTTTTTTCTAATTTTACTTAGTATCCCCATTTTTTAAAATTACAAAATAAACTTTGCCACCCTACTCTCTCTGATATGATACAGGATAGGAGTATACCACTATAAACTATCTCGTTACCATTTGTAGTCCTTTGGTCCGACCAACTCTTCCCAAGCACTTCTCCTGAACATCAAGAAGGGGCAATGGTGACGGAGAGAGAGTGGAGGCATTGAAAAATGAAGAAGAGGAAGCAACTATTGAGGAGAGAGAAAAGGAGAGATGGAGGCCGTCAATAAGGGAAATGAAGGTGGTGAAAGAGATGGTATGGAATAAGGTTGAGATTAATTGAGATGTCTAAAGAAAGAAACAAAATTCAAATTTTAGAGTTAGGTGTCTTAAGAAACTGGGGGCTTGTTTGGTTCTTTTTTGGGAGAGTTGTTTTTTAAAAAAATTTGGGAGAGTTATTTAGAAATTTTTTTGATTTGTTTAGTTGTATATTTTAAAAGTAATTTTGAAGTTTGGGATGATTTGATATTTTGTTATAATTAAGTAGATGTGTGTCAGAGAAAAAGTAATTGATTGATGTGCAAGAGAAAGAAAGTGATTTTGAAATTTTTTTGAAAAAAATCTCAAACCAAACAATTTTTTGAAATTTTTTTTTCTAAAACTGATCTCTAAAACTCAAACCAAACATACCCTGGGTGTCCAATAAATTTTTCGAAGTGCAATTAGAGACACCCCTTCAACACTATTCTTCATAATTTAGTAGGACAAAAATAATACATTCTTTGTTGGATTAACTATACTAAAATCTCCACAACTATTAACAAATATTAACTTACCCCTCATCTATATCTATACATTTTGACCAATTTTTTTTTTTTAGTTGAATGAGTTAAAAATGTATATATTTATAGACAAGTGGTAAGTTGATATTCTCTAATAATTGAGATTTTACTAGGACTTCCTAAATTATTTGCGAATATAATTTTAGCTCATTCATTTATGAAATTGTACATTCTAGCTATCTTAACAATAAAAAAATATATATTTTTATTCCCTCCCGACCTGCTCTAAAAAGGTGACATTTATACAATTTCTATAGTGAAGGCGATCAAACATATATGAATTAATAAATGAGATGGGTAAAAAATATTTACTAATAGTTGAAAGAGTCTTCATATAGTTAACCCTAATATATATGATGTAAGGTTGAGCCATATTTGAGAAAATTGGATTTGTATTGGTTAATCAAAACTACATAATTTTACCACACTTCGGATAATCTTGTAATTGAAGGAAAACGAATTTTAAACTAAAGTAAATAGCCTTTTTATTGAATAATTGAAGTGAAAGAATAATTGAAGTGAAAGTAAATAGACATTTTATTGAATAATTGAAGTGAAATGGTTGGGTCCGTACCGACCTTTATCCATTTTTGGGAGGTTGAAAGATTCTTTGCAAAGTTATGTTCGATTTGGTTTTGAGAGATATATTTTCAAAAAAAAAATTTGAGGAAAGAGTTTAGAATTCTTTTTTTAGTTTGTTTAGTTGTATATTTTAAAAATAGTTTTGAAGTATAAGAGTTTGAGATGATTTGATATTTTATTGTAGATGTGTGTGAGAAAAAAAAGTAATTAAGAATGAGATAGGAGAGAGAAAAAACGATTGATTGATGTGTAAGAGAGTGAAAGTAATTTTAGAATTTTTTTTTATAAAATTTCTAACCAAACAAAATTTTAATTTTTTTAAAAAAAATTATATTTTAAGAATTAAGCCAAACAAGCCCTGAGTTTTGCAAAATCCAAAGGCCATTTCCAATATCGTTTGGGGCATCTTTTATTTATTCTTATAATATCAAATAAATTTAAATATGTTTTCCGAAGCAAAATAAATTGATATGCTTTTGAAAGACAATAAAAAAATGTTGAAAATGAAGCTAACTAGTAATTAACAAGAAAAGACAAAATGAGATTTTTTTTTAATTAATTTTAAAAAACCGAAGGATGACATCAAATGACTAAATCATTTTGGTGGCTAGGAAAATAAGAAAATTGAAATTTTAAACAAGAATATTATATTTCACCTGCATTAAATACTTTTCTAATTCACCCAAATATAATTTAAAAAGTCATGAATTTGAAATGGTCATAAGAAAAGTTAACAAGAAAAGACAAAATGAGATTTTTTTTTTAATTAATTTTAAAAAACCGAAGGATGACATCAAATGACTAAATCATTTTGGTGGCTAGTAAAATAAGAAAATTGAAATTTTAAACAAGAATATTATATTTCACCTGCATTAAATAGTGTTTATTAATAGGAAATGTCAATCTAATCCGCCCAAATATAATTTAAAAAGCCATGAATTTGAAATGGTCATAAGAAAAGTTGAAAGTAGAAAGGATATATATATAATATGAATATAAACATATAATTACCTCACTTCACTTGAATAGAGATGACCACTAAAATGATCATCAACCGCCGGCCTTCAATGTCCATTCTCCAGTCAAGAAAATAATTCAAAGAGGATAGAGAGAGGCTTCATTAGGCCTTGTTTGGGGTGTCCACAAAAAGTCACTATCTTATTTAAGGCATATCATCTTATTTAAGTCACATCGCCTCTCTACCACATCACTTTAAATCCAGTAAAAAAAGTGTACTTATTTAGAACATCCCAAACATACAATTTAAAATTTTTAACCTGTTCAAGTAACTAATCTAACTCGCCACTAATTATGTATAAAAATTAAAATCTCAACTCTACACCTATCTTTTTATTTTCTAACTTTCATCCCAATTGCCGCCCTGCCCAACCCTACCTCCGCTCCAATTGGCTTATTATTTTTCAATAAAAAATATTCAAGCTATACCAAAACTTTCACTTGCTTAGATGCTAGACCATATCAAAGTTTCTTGGGCACATGTATATTATCAAACAATTTTTTTTTTTAATTTTGATTTTGTAGTTTCATAATTACATTTAGGCCAAGTTTAACAATCCAAAAATAATCCATCTTTTATCTTTTTTTCATCACATCACCTCTCTACTTTTCTGCACATCTTTTCGTGAAAAGATAAAAAATACATTTATTTAGATCATCTCAAACAACCCCTTAATATTTGAGACCTTAAATATGTTTATAACATGTGTTAAAATTTACAATCTACCAACCTGTACTGCCAAAATACTTGAACCGACCTGTGGATTTTGAGGTTTTGTGGGTTGGCAATGGGTTAAGAATTTGACAATTGGTTGAGATTTTATTCTCTCAAACTGCCCTATAACAAGAAGAAGTGCAATCTTTTTTTTTTTTTTTTTTTTTTTTTTTTGAGGACAGAAGACAAGTAATTACTTTGTCTAAAATATAAAAAATAAAAGTTGGAGAAACTAATTATATGATCCAATAGGCTTGAAAGGACAAATCACATATAATAATAGACCAGATGAATAGGCAGATTTCTGCCTAAGTGGGGTGGGGGTGGAGTGGGCCATCAAATGATGGTGTACACTCATCAAATTTGTGGCCAACGAGATCTAAGTGACAATGATGCCTACCTTCCCCACCTGGGAAACACATGGGCCTGCGTTTTATCTACACCCTCTCCAAATACAGGTTATTGTGGTTCTCTTCTCTCTACTTTCAATCTTCAAAATTATCACTTGAAAATGACAATTAAACCCTAACCCAGAAAAGAAAGTGGTTAGTCGTGGTTCTCTTCACTCCACAATTTCAAACTTCAAAATTATCACTTGAAAATGACCATTAAACCCTAACCCAAAAAGTGAAAGTGGTACGAAGCGCATACCCAGAACTTTGTGTGGACCTTATCACTGCCCAATGATCGATTCATCTTGTAACGTTAAGTGGCTTTAGATTTCACGTTATCCAAATCAAATTCCACCCACAACTCTCAAACAAGCCTCACCAAACACCAAATCACAATCAACACCAGCAATCACTTAGGCTTGCATGCTTGTCAAGCAAAGATTCAAGCATAAAAGAAGTAGCACCATTATCTACACCATAAGGAATTGCACCAGCATCTACAATATAATCTGATCAACAAAATGAAACAACAATAATATGTGCGAACATCATATTAGTAAAACATACAAGGTTATGGAAGCAAAAATAAGTGCCAATCTTTTATATTTAACACAATAACACACAATACATGCATAAAACACAATACCAACTCTTCCTCCAAATGCATATTATCATCTCCATTCTAATGAAGGAGATACGGAAGCTCAAGCACCAACAAATTTATTCTCATCACGAAAAAGAAAAAAAAAAAGGAACACCAGCTACTTGTATCATCAATCGCCACTGCAGCCTTCCCTAATCCTGCATCAAGAAAGCTCCATCTTAATTCATGGATACAAGTACATCCATCAGGAGAAGAAAACATATCATTATAATATAATATACTTGCAAGTATACATACGAGAATATTTCTTCAATACTTTACTTAGTTCTTTGATAAGAACATAGTGAATTAAAGTAATATAATTTGTCAAATTGACATATTCTTATAACTATATAGAAAGTAAGAATTAGAAGGTAAAATTAAATAACGTTGTTCTATTATTATAATATAAACATATTAGACTTGGTATTGAAATGCAATATTTATAAGACATATTAAAAATTAAAAAAAGTAAACTATTTGTAAGACATTAAAAATTAAAAGAAGTAAACTAGTTATCAACAGAGTGTTTGATAACATGATTCAGTACTTAAAACTGAATGTATTAAGTGATAATCAATTAAGTCTATTTGATAACCACAATTAATATCATTTAAAAATTGAAGTGTCTCTTAAAATGTAAGCCAACATTCAAGAAAATTTTAAGTTATACAAAACTTACTTAATTCTAATTGAATTTATAAACACTAAATATAAGTATCAATATACATAATTATAAACTCACTACCACCACCATCATCATGCCGCCGCCGCCGCTGCCACCACTACCACTGTCACCGCCACCACCGCTACCACACTCACAATTGTTGTCATAAGTACCCCACCATTGCTACCGCTACCGCCACCGCCACCGCCGCTACCACCACCACCGCCACCGCCATACCATTACCACCACTACCACCACCATCACAATACAAAAATTAAAATATATAATTTAAAAATAATAAATTTCAATTTTAATCTTATACAAATCAAACAATTTATTTTTAGTTCGGCACTTAAATTTTTATGAAACAACTTTTTAACTTAATAAATTCAATATTCAATACTTAATCTTCCGTCTTTAGTTTTCAGCTTTAAAGATGATGTAAAATTATAGTACGGTTTCTCAACATTTTTGAGCTCATATTTAACTGGCTATTAATAATTTTTTCAAAAATATTTTTTTTTACAAACGTATCCTAACTCTGTACCTTTTTTATTTATTTATTTATTTTTTATTTTGTCGTATCGCCATATCCTAACCATACCCATATTCTATTTTTTTCGATTTTATTATATCGCTGTATCCGTATCGTATCATATCTTTATCCCATATTTGTGCTTCCTAGATGGTTTACCAGTTGAAATATGATGTAAAGTTTATATCATTATTAAGGCCTCGTTTGGGAACAGGCTAATTTAGTAACTTTTTGGCTAATTGGCTAAAAAGGTAGGTAAAAAAAACTTGTATGTTTGGGATGACTTTTTGACTAATTACGAAAAGCTGTGCAAAAAGTAGAGAGAAGCCGTAATTGTTGACTTTTTGGTATGACTAATTGGCTAATTTAGTAACTTTTTGACTTTTTGGCTAAAACAGAGCCTTCCCAAACGAGGCCTAAGTTTGGATGAGAGCGTAGAATCCAACATCTCTTCAACAAAAAGAGCCTAAAACCAAGTAGATCTAATTTAAATGGTTAAATCTACCTACATTCAACTGAAAAAATAATGAAAAAGTTAAAAAAAACAAAACTTATGTTGTTCGAAAATTTTGGGTTGAAAATGATGAGACCCAAGTTGTAGATTTATACTTGAAATCTAGTAAATCTCAGCTTCTATCAAGTTTTATGGAGCTTTATAGTGAGATTTGTGGTAGCAAAACTATGAAAACGAGTCAAAGAACTGAAAAAAGGAGTCTTTTGTGCATCTACACAAATCTGGCCGAAAGCTAGTGTAACAGTGCTGTTACATAACACCATTATGCCATACACGTTTTATTTTATTCACACCGCAATTGCGGCAGATATCAGTTTCAGCACCTGGCATTACATAAAGTGTTGCAATTGATTTTTGAATCATTGTATATAAGGGTAAATTATCAATAGATCCTACTTTTAGGACTTATTACCCATTAAGTCTTATTGATAAATTTATAATCTCTCATGTTTTTATGAATAAATTTACAAGGATAAATTGTATCAATCACGACCTGTGGGTAAATAAGTTTAGTTAATAGGACTGATTGGTAAGTATCCTGTATGTAGACAAGCTTTTGTATGTGGCTTGTATATTCAAGCACAAAGGTATACATCCCATTCTGTCTCTATGATCTGACTAAAGTTACTTGCACAAAAGTCTATAGTACATCAAGTATCATCACCTCCTTATGTTAAACTTATCACTTTAAAGTAGAAATACTAGTTGTTTTCTATTGATGTATGAGAAATACACAGCCTTGTGTTCCCTTATTAGTGTCATATGCCACTACATCTGAAACTTACATTTCCAAAAATGCCCCACATTCAGGTTTGGCATCTATTGGTGGTCCAGCAATGAAATTTACTTGTCCATTTTCTACATAATAAAATTGAAATCTAATAGTTATACATCCTGCGTTGTGTCAGAAACTATCAAGGAAGCATCATCTAATGAACTATTTTTTAAAAGTGATGTAGAGAAAAGGAAGCATGCCATACTGAAGCAGTGATGCCAGTAAGCAAGCAATGGAAAGATGAAAGCATTAACATAGAAAATGCAAACAAGGTTAGTATATACATAGAAAATCTCCATGTTTACACCAAACCAACCTAAGCCTTTGTTAAAAGTTAAATATTGGAGAATTTAGAAAAAGTTATGTGAGCATTAAACAGAACAAGATGAAAGCAACAGGGTTCAGCAAAAAGTAACAGAGTCAACATACCTCATCATCATCATCATCATCATCATCATCATCATCATCATCATCATCATCATCATCATCATCATCATCATCATCATCATCATCATCATCATCATCATCATCATCATCATCATCATCATCATCATCATCATCATCATCATCATCATCATCATCATCATCATCATCATCATCATCATCATCATCATCATCATCATCATCATCATCATCATCATCATCATCATCATCATCATCATCATCATCATCATCATCATCATCATCATCATCATCATCATCATCATCATCATCATCATCATCATCATCATCATCATCATCATCATCATCATCATCATCATCATCATCATCATCATCATCATCATCATCATCATCATCATCATCATCATCATCATCATCATCATCATCATCATCATCATCATCATCATCATCATCATCATCATCATCATCATCATCATCATCATCATCATCATCATCATCATCATCATCATCATCATCATCATCATCATCATCATCATCATCATCATCATCATCATCATCATCATCATCATCATCATCATCATCATCATCATCATCATCATCATCATCATCATCATCATCATCATCATCATCATCATCATCATCATCATCATCATCATCATCATCATCATCATCATCATCATCATCATCATCATCATCATCATCATCATCATCATCATCATCATCATCATCATCATCATCATCATCATCATCATCATCATCATCATCATCATCATCATCATCATCATCATCATCATCATCATCATCATCATCATCATCATCATCATCATCATCATCATCATCATCATCATCATCATCATCATCATCATCATCATCATCATCATCATCATCATCATCATCATCATCATCATCATCTGCATCCTTTTTAAGGCGGGTTGTGCCGCTCTCCTTGCTGATGGGTAACTTCATTGCTCCAAAGGGTGTATCCACATTAATGTTCCCTTTCATGGAGTAGCCCGTACCTTTTCCTCTAATCATGTCCCAAAGAGCAGAGCCAAAGTCCTTGGGCCTGAAGGTGATGGGAATTTCAATGCGACTAATACCATTTCTATCAAGCTTAGTAGATTTTGCTAGATCTGCACTTCCAATGCTCATATCACAAAGCCAAACCTCATAGTCTAGATCAGTGAGGCCCAAATCAAAGTCATTCTTATTCTCCAATTTCAAATGAAGAATAGCAACAGTTTCTTCAAGAGAGAATCTCTCAAAATGTATTTTCTCAACATCAATATCAGGCTTGTAAGGTATGGGGATCTCTCCTGTTTTCTCAATTGGCAGAGTCAGCCTCCCAAAAACCGGGACATCAACTATGAGGTCAACCTTGACCTTATAAGGAATGATACTTCCAGGCTTTATATCAGCATATGTATTTTTAATGTCATCATATATCAAAGTAACCGGTATCTTGACAGTCTCAGAACCATGAGCATGGATTGTCCCAGCATCAGGGATCAACCCAGAAATCAGTTTCCTTCCATCGCTCTCGATTAAGTAGTTTATGTCGATAAGAGGGATGGGAATCGGATTTGGATTTTTCACAAGGACGTCAACAACTATATCTGCCTTCTCAAGATTAATTTTGGGAAAGTGAATCCCTGCAACTTCAGCAGTTGGCTTGCCAAATCCAATGGTTTCCTCAATCTTCTCACCGATGTCTTGAATGAAATCCTTTACTTTATCAATAAATCCGCCCTTCCCATCATCTTTGTCATCTTCTTTGTGTTCTTTCCCTTTCACATCCCTTTCAACTATCTCTGGCTTATCAGATGATGCCATACCTTAATAATAATAAATTCCAAATGTTAAAGGATTGAGTTAGAACTAGATGAAACAGACAGAGGGAATGAACAACAAATACAAGGAGACGGCACTATAACTTGTGAAGATATAAGCATACACTTTCACTCGCATAATTTCTATTTGCATTTCGCATAAAAATTATGTACAATGTAGTAAAGTGATAGCAATCAAACATAATAAAATGAAAATCGTTGTGATTCTAATATTCGTTTTGAGTAAACAGAGTGATCTTTACCTTTAGTTTGAGAAGAGTGAGCGAAGTGATCGACTCGAGACAAACTTGAATGGGAATTCGATTTGAGGATCGAAGACGAATCTGAATGACTTGGGATTTTTTTATAATGATTTTTAATTAGTAATGATGATTATTGTTATCCAGAGAGAGAGAGACAGACAGAGAGTAATTAAGTAATGAAAATGACAAGGAGGAGCGCTTTCAGGTTCGCAAAGTGATCCACACGCAGATGACACGTTTCTATGGAAAGAGGCCTTTGTTGGAGTTCGGATCCTCTCCTTCAGAAGTCTCCTTCCCATCTTAATTTTAATGGCTGAGATGCAACGATTGAGATAAACAAGAAATTTTTTTTTTTTGAAATTTTGGTCCATTCCCGCTCAAACAAAACACAACTCTGTATAGCCTCACATTCATAGAGGTTATGCGCACTCCTCTCACACAACCTACACTCACCCCTTCTCTTTCGTCGAATCCATCCTCACCGGCGACCCAATACCGGCGACGACCCACTTTCAACGTCGTTGCAGATTCAACGACGGTAACCCAGTCTCAAATCGATACAGATTCTGTCTGGGTGGGTCTTTGGCAAACCAGAGATTAGTCTTCTTCATTGCCTCGCACTGTGTAATTTATTATTTGAGCTTCAACTGAACTTAATCTGATAAGTTTGTCTCTTTCCTCAAGATTATTTGTTAATTGACAAGATTATTTAAGCTCAAACATACATACAATATCGTCTAACTAAACCTATATTTGAGCTTCAAACTGAACTCATTTGTCTCTGTCTAATAAAAAATTAACAACCTCATTATTTGGTTTGCCCTCATTTTTTGTTAATCACAAATTAGCAAATTATGAGGTTGTTAATAATGAGAAGAAATGGGTTAAACAGATTGCTAATTTGCTAAATGGGTTAAGCTAATTTTATGTTAAGCTGAACCCATTGTTAAGCTCAAATAATGTCTCTAACAAAGCAATTTTAGTTTGAAGCTCAAACTGACAAGATTGTTTGACAAGATTATTTGACAAAATAATGTCTCTAATAATTGACAAGATTATTTGTTTGTCTCTATCTGTGTAATGAATTATTGATTTTGTGTGATTGAGCTTGAAACATATCCTCTTCCCAAAAATGTGTGTTTGGAATTTTTTAAAACTGAACTTAGTCTCTAAGTTTTTATGGCTAGAATATTTTTTCAAACTGAAATTATGTTTTTTTGTGCGTTAAATAAAGATTTAATTTATGTACCTAAGATTTTATTTATATGGGTTTTCAGTTTCATTTTGATATCGATATGGAACTTGAGAATGATTGTGCTTGGAAGCCGAAACAGGGAATGACATTTGATTCTGAACAATGTGCGTATGATTTTTATAATACATATGGAGGAAGAATGGGGTTTAGCATAAGAATGGATTATTGTAGGAAGAACAAGTTCACTAACCAACTTATTTGTAGACTTTTGGTTTGCAACAAGGAGGGATTTCGAAAGGTTGACAAGCGAGACCCATTAGCAAAAAACCCTAGAGCTGAAACTAGGACTGGTTGTGAGGCTCGACTTTATATTAAATTAGATGAGAGTACTGGGAAATTTGTTGTGACTGATTTCAAAGAAAAACACAACCATGATCTTGTATCATCTGAGTGTGCCCATATGTTGCCGTTACAAAGAAAGATATCGACTACCCAAGCAGTTGAGTTAGAATTGGCGGCACAATTTGGTCTTCGTTTAGGGCAGTGTTTTGAACTCATGGGTAGGGAAGCTGGTGGAAGGCAATGTCTTGGGTATACGAAATTAGATCAAAAAAATTATTTGAAAAACAAAAGACAACAAAGTTTAGCATATGGGGAAGTGGGCAATGTGTTGCAATACTTTAAAGAAAAATCTTTACAAAATCCTTCCTTCTTCTATGTTTTTCAATTAGATAATGAGGAGCAAATAATCAATATGCTTTGGGTCGATGCACAAATGATCATGGATTATACCCAATTTAGTGATGTTGTCACATTTGATACGACTTACAAGTTAAACAAAGAACATAGACCCTTTGCATCTTTTGTGGGATTCAACCATCATAGGGAAACAGTTATATTTGGTGTAGCATTGTTGTATGATGAGACTGCTGAATCATTTGTATGGTTGTTTGAAAGTTTTCTAGAGGCTATGTCAAGAAAGGCACCAAAAACTTTGTTCACTGATCAAGATGCTGCAATGGCTAAAGCCATACCCATCGTTATGCCTGACACAAGTCACCGATTGTGTACTTGGCATTTGATGCAAAATGCATTAAAACATGTTAACTGTTTGTTCCAAGATAAGGGGGTGAAGGGTATACTAAATAAATTCTTCTTTGACATTGAAGATGCAAATCAATGGAAGTTAGAGTGGGCGGAAATGCTTGATAAATATGATGTGCATGAAAACCATTGGTTGAAATTGACTTTTGCGGTGAAAGAAAATTGGGCCTGGCCTTATGTTAGATCAACATGGACTGAGGGAATGAGTACCATACAACTTAGTGAATCTTTTAATGTGTTTTTGAAGGATTACATTCGTTCTGATTTTAACTTAAATGAATTCTTCATACATTTCGAAAGGGTACTTTACGATAAGCGATACAAGGAGTTAAAAGCAGGATATGCTTTGTGCCAAAGGTTGCCAAAGGTGAAAGCAACAATAAGAATGTTAATTCAAATGGGTAATGTCTACACAAAAAAGATCTTTGAGGAATTTCAAAATGAGTACTTTCGATCTATTGAATCGGACATAGAAGCAATTGAATATGGCGAGGCTAGTACCATTTACACAGTTATTGATGTTGGTAACAAACATGTAAGAAAAGTGAAGATGGAGAGGATGGCTCTTTGGGTTGTAATTGTACAAAGTTTGAAGGGGAAGGCATCTTGTGTTGTCACTCATTGAAGGTTATTAGAGACATATTGAAGATGAAAGAGGTTCCTCCATAATACATTCTAAAAAGGTGGACCAAACAAGCAAGAGCCGAAACTGTGAAGGACATTAAGGGGAATGATGTCACGACCCCAAACCGCCCCTAGTAGTTTGGTGCCGTGATGGCCAGTAATCCGAGATTACCAAAGGCCAACTTTCAAAATTCACACACAATCAGAGTATAAATATATGGGGCTAACATGTGCGGAAGCAATAATTGAAAATACAAGTGGTCCATAAGAGCAATGCATAAGTCAAATGGAATGGCAAATATCTTTATACAGCTTTACAACTTGAATACAATTAAAGTAAGGTCCAAAATACATATTTGTCACGACCCAAACCCGCCCCTATGGGTTTAGCACCGTAACCGGCCAGTAATCCGAGATTACCGAAGGCCTGCTTAACAGTAATACAGTAATACAGAATACAGGGGCTGGCGGAAGCCAATACAGTAAATAAACAATGTCCAATGAGCTGTGACAGTCTGTATGCAAAAAGACTTTTCATTCAAATATATATACAGTCAGACAAAACAGTGTGTACATATGTATAATCATTCAGTCAGGGACCTGTAGACGTCCCCGAACGCCCCGGGAGGACAAGTCCCGTTCTGTTCGTTTTGGATTCACTACAGTCAGGACTCTCAAATTGTCACGGTTCTTAATCTGAACCAAAGAGTCCAAATCCGGCAAATCATTTTGAGAAAAATAGATTTTTAGAAAAGAAGTGCCAAACATGGACTGCTTTGCTAGATACAGAGTCGCCACCTAAATATTTTATTTTGGGGGAATTTAGGAAACCCTGACTCGTTTGCCTAAGGCCACGTGTTCGTCATCACCAAAGTTGCCTCGGCTCGGGAACTTGGGTACGATTGGGGAAGGTCAGCTATGAGCACCTCCGCTCGCCCGATCAAAGATCGGCCTCTACTAACCGTGATATCTTGTTTTGAAAGCATTATGTGTTCTTAATCCAGTTATTAGCCTAGAATTACTATGTTATGCGCACAGCAAACAAGTATAGACCAAATTGCCTAAATTGGAACAAAACATTGTATGTTTGTTTTGAAAATGGTTTGCTACTCGCAAGTAGGCTAAAAATGTAGGTTTCACCACCCTCGAGTGGGCTTTAGAAAAAATGATTTTGCCACTATCTGGTGGGCTTTTAAACTCACAGTTTTAATGCATTATTCCAATTTAGGTAATTCGACCTCCACCCACAGGCACTCAAGCAGTTATATCACATAAGCAGCTAGCCTCATGGTAATCATGCTATTATGGCAACACTCACACGCATGCGGTATGCTAAAGCATAAATGCTTACCGAGTACTCCGAGCCAAGACAAGAACATGTTAGCAATCAATGCATGATCCAAGTCCATGTTAAGTGGCTAATGCAACGTATACAGAATGCAATCTAGAATAGGCTCGGCTAATCTAAGGATGACATATGAGAATGCACAGATAGCATGTATTCAAATTAGATTTGAAATACTTTATGCAGTTAGCATGATGCGCCGAGCCTGGTGCATGCAAGACTAATGAATGATTCTTGAACAATTTCTCGAAGGTATGCTAAT